ACGCCTAGGGGTATTTGCCCACTGTACCTCCATACCAAATTTCAGGACCTTAGGCCCTAAAATGAAGAAGCTGAATCCATTTAAAAAATGGCAGGAGAAGGAGAAGGAGAAGGAGAAGAAGAAACACCAGAAAAAGCAATATGGTTTCACCACACCACTTCGTGGTGTGGTGAACCCATAATAACTTACAATCTTACCTCTCGTGTCAATAAAATACTGTTGGATCAATCTCAAAGCATAAAAATACTCATAAAAATTGAAATGAACAAATTATTGCACCATAAACAGCTCTTATTTCCCAAATGCATAGGGGAAGATTTGAAGGCTTTGCAGGCAATGTCTGTCGTCCGCTTTATTCTTCAACTTTGTTCCATGACACAATCCAAAGCTTTACATGTATATTACACTCAATGTCCAGGTTAAGATGGGCCAATGTCATAAATATAAACAGACATGTACATGCACATGCATGTATAGTCAGATTATGACCACAATATTTGTACTGTAGAATGAAGGAATGTCCGGTAAATTTACCCCAAAGTGAGTTAATTACTGCTATTGCCTTATTTTTCTGCACGTGTGTGTGTGTGTGCGTGTGTGTGTGTGTGTGTGTGTATTTCAATACTGCAATTTCTGTACATTCTGCCAGAGGGAGTAGTGCAATTTCTGTAGTAACACTTTTAATCTGACTTAGACAAAGGCACTAGCCAGGGCTTTCATTTTCATGAAAAATCAGTCATTGTAACTCTAAGACTTGCATGCCAGGAGGGATTGATATAAAATTGTTTTGGTGAAGCTTTAGCCAACGGCAGTGTTCTAGCCAGCATCCGTCTTTCTTTCATTTGACAGAATTTTGAGGCTTGTGATGGACAAAAGTTTTGCCCAATCCATCATCTTAGACAGACAATAATGGGTGGGTAAAGATGTGGAAAGAGATGTCCTTAACTAAGCTTAGTCTACCAGCAAACTTTGCCCCTCAAAATGTAGGAAAATTTCCTAGGGTCAGAATGTTTCCAGATCTGCACCCGAATCCTACTGGATTGTCATGTTTGGTGCTTGACATACAGTTATGTACTGTAATATTACATCAAACAAAATTGAGATAATGGAAGAAAATTTCAGGCTGGCTATGCAGCTGGCCCACAGCATACAAATTTATCAGTTCTCCAGACCTATACTGACTAATGTTCGCCAGTGATGTTACAGTCCCTTTTCCAGATCTAGCCTGCAGACGTGATCGTTATCAAAGTTGTGGATGAAGGATGTGCCGGCGTGGTCCATGGCTCTTTGGACGTGTCCCAGGGTGATTTACTTGGACCGAGGACTCATTTATATGAATAAATCGTATGCAGCAGTCTCTGAATCAATAGGACAGGTCAGAAAAGGACAGCCAAGCCTGAGTACAAGGACATGTGTCCTCAAACGACCTACTAGTACTTCAATCCACTGACAAATCAGGTATAGTCTCTGCTAGAAGTTCCTTGCCTGACATCCAGCTGTGTTAGAAATGGAAACAAAAGTTTAACATGGCGGGATACCGTTATCAACTGAGTTTCTGAAGCCAAAAAGAAACCATTGGCTTCATGGCAGTATTCCATAGGGCAGTTTAATACCATGTTGGACTTTTGACAAATTATGTTCAAACTCTTCATGGGTTTATCAGCAGGAAAAAAAAATACCTTGAGTGTTACACAGGGCCACCTGCACTAACCTGTAACATTATCGTTCTGAATAGGTCAGATTTTTTAACATGAATCGTCTCTGTACATTAGCTGACATTTTGACTTAACAGTCAACTTTGAGGGACTCTATATATGCAGTGTCAGAATCAGGTTCTTTCCACTCAGCCAAGCTCAACACTGTCACTGTCAAGTTTTTGATGCATTGCCCATACTGCCAATTTGACTTTGTTCCAAGAAGCCACCTAGGGAGAAATTATACAGTAATGGAGGAACCATTAAAGCATCCCCGTACGGGGTGTGCAACAGATGTAGTAAATCATATCCTGTTACTGAACATCTCCAGATATTAACCAGACTACAAAAACTCTATACACGTACAGTGCAGAGTCCTACGTGTACTTTCAGACTGCCAGCTGCAGGTCCACTTTCCCATAAAGGGACTGGATACAAGATTCCACTTTGCTATTACATATTAATAAGTGTTCAAGCCAACTTGAAATATTTTTTCCTGTCATCTCAATTTTGTTTCATGTACATGTAACATCCATTGAGTGCGTAACAGTCATATGGGGGTCCCTTTGGAGAACTAATTCCATGTACAAGTGTTATACTGGTTAGGTGTTTCTTAGCCAGGCAAACTTGGCAGACTTCAAAGAAGTCTACAAGGCTGAATGACGAAATAAAGAAATTATCTGACAGAAACATGTACAACAGCTGTAACTGAGTGAACAGTACTAAAATCATTGGAACAGATTCTGTTCCAATATTACCTGTTGCGTTATGAGAAAACAGTGTTTTTGTATGATCTGTAAAAAAATCATGTATTCCCCAAAAAACTTCAGGATTTCAAAACACAAGTAAAATTAGATGAACTAACATGTAGGAGTTGTTCACAATAGAAAGTCTTTTAAGAATTAACTGTGCATTATGTGCACGAAAGTTTTATATCGATTGGGTGAAGAGAATATGGAATAACACATTCCCTATGGAATAATTCCAGGCCTTCATACAAGCTACGTACTACCGGTACTTGACATTATCCAAAGCACTTTTTCCATTAGTGATGTAAGGAAAATTATTGTCACTGTCAATTCTAATGAATACAGGATGACAGACTCTAGACAAGGTGCTGATGCTACAATCTTTTACTTCAAAGTTCAAACTGTAATGCTTAGGGCACAATTCCCAGCCCACGGCCCGGGGTCTAGCCAGGCAGTTTCCAGGAACGAAAAGTAAGGTAAGTATACTCACTGTATAGAATACAACACATACCTTTGCCAAATGATGTACATTTGTAGCCTTTACCACTGATGACTTGTAGATGTCTGTCATTGATTATGCAATGTTATATCAGATGATCATATTTTCCACCCAAAGACACCTTATAACAAAGAAGGAATTTCCTAAAAAATCATGCAAAAGAGGTCTAAATTTGAATAATAGCATTACCTATTTTCTCCACCCACAATTATGTATCATTACTGTTTCGCCCTGTCGGACTTACCCCAATACACAAAGGAAAAGGGTGGGACACCACCTAATTTGTTGGTCGTGATTGTCACATTGTTATACAAACATGCTATGATGATAAAACGACATATCTCAGGTAACAGGGTCTTTAAATCATCAGACTGACCTATAATCTCCTTCGACATGTTACACTTCATGCCTGAGGCAACTTCCTCTGCAGTCTTTCAATTAGGAGGGGTAGAATTTTTCCAGCAGCTTGCAATCCACAAGCAAAGCAAAGAAATTTTCAAAACCGGAACAATCAATCAGTATTGCAACATCACATGTACAATCCTATTATTGTCATTCACACTGTAGGAGCAAAGTACTTGTTGCAGGAAGTTATCAATAGCTATAATAATGTTCCAGCTGGCCATACAATCATGTATTGTTGCCAAAGCAACACATGACCTTGTCAAGGACATTCCAGACTCTTGAAACAGGCTTAAGAGGTTTTTCTGTGCTATAATGTGCTCTTTGTTTCATTCAGATGTTGCTAAGGCATCCAGACGGTAGCCAGGGCCTCAACAGGCCAGCTTTTCGGCTCCAGGGTTGATGTACCCCCAAGGAAACTTTGCCTGGGCCCCCTGAGGTTTACCATAAAAGCCCTGAGCCCAGGCAAAGTTTGAATCAGTGCTGGTATATCAGTGTTGGAGCCATAAGAACTGGCCTGAATAGGCCATGGCTAACTTGTCTGGCTTCCGGGCTAATCATGATATGCCACCTGGAAGTTTGTTTCTCTTCTTGTTGCAAACTGAAAGTTCCACTAAGATAAAGTGGTAATTTAAGACACTATTACAAAAAAAAACAAAGTACATGTATTCACTAGTCCAGATAATGATTTCGATGACATGTTTCTTCCTTAGCCATTTCATAGCTTCTCACAGTACTGTCAATACCAGAGGGTACTCATAACCTACCTCAGTGTAGAGGAATGTTTCTCTGATCAGATCAGCTAGAAACACTAGAGGTTTACTGGTGTTCAACCTTCAAATCCTGTCATGACAACACTGCTGAAAGGGTGAGCCAATAAGTTGTCTGTCTGGTCACCTTAGGTAATCTCATTATGTCCACCTGATTGGTAAATAAACCACAAGAATGGCTGCCAGACAAGAAAACACTGACAGTAAGAACACAAACAGGGCTGGGAGGTTAAAACTACAAACTATCCAAACTCTGAACTGGAGGAAGGTAGATCTTACCATATCACCTGAATAATCATGCTGACTGAGAATACATGTACTGTAAATCACTAGTTTTTCTCAATACATTTCTGCTCGCTGTTTTTGCGGTCACTTCTGTTCTGCAAATTTATCATTACCGAGAACAAATAATTCACTGACTTTCTTTCTTCTACAGTTCCGCAAACATTTTAGAGTAGAAACAGACAAATTAAAAAAAAAACAGACATTCAATTAAGTGCTTGGTGTACACAGTTTACAGAGCGGAGTGAAAAAGGAAAACCACAATATTATTCTAACTGCCGTAAATTTCATTTCAAAAGACATCAAAAGACAATATTCCAGGATATTGACACAAACCAAAATACCTTTAGTCACCCTAATATATGATTATTACGCTTCCAACAGAGTGGTATCAAACTTATAAATCAGCTTCACAAATTGTATGTCCAACATATACAATAACTTACCTGACATTAAAATCATTACATAATTTTTATAGTAACATAAAATTTCTTACTTTGAAAACCCACATGTCCATGGCGAGTGTCAATCAAACTACTTCAGACAGAAGAAGACTCAAAACAGTTAACATATAACACAAACTGGACAAACATTTAAACGTTACCTTTAGAAAATTTCTCTTCCAAAGTGTCCAGATGTGGACGTACAGTGGCACTACCCTGTTGTGTTGTGGTATACAGTACAGTTCTGCAGCTGATCACCCCAAACTGGTCAGACAAGTCTTGTCAGGGAACATCTGGGTGACCCAGGGTTCAAGGAGAGTCAGGAAGTGACATGTTGTTGACGTCATCTGTCCACAGAAGGAGCGGTGTGGTAGGGTGGGGCCTGGGGGGATACATGGTGTCAGTCATTAGGGGCCATTTCAAGTCTTATACAATGTATATGGTTCATAGACTCAACATGTAAAACTTCACACTCTTATCTCAAAATCTGGATATTTCTCTCAAAATTTGGTTAGATGTCTGAGGATATATGTGTATGACTTTTCTAAGGCGTAATCAGCCGTTTCAGTTTGTCATAACTCGTACGAAAGTTTCATCATTTTATGATCAACAGTTGCAGTTTTGCAGTTGTAGTAATATGCAGGGATGACACTGAATTTAAAAGAAAGTGTAGTCAGCCCTCTAAACTATATACTATGACCAGAGCCCCTTATGCAGACCAAGACCTTATTGAGCCAGTCCCTGAAAATACCAGTAGTCTGAGAGCAATGTCAACTTCAAAAACCATCATTGGCATCAACCCACAAAAAACACTTGTGGGGAAAACAAAACCAACATTGCAGGCATCACCTTCACAGACACAATAAAAT